CACCTGGTGCTCAGTGTAATTTCTTCTGCACAGAAAGGCACTGCTGGAGAAGTACAAGGCTTTGCCACAGGACCCATCCCAAGGATTCTGTTCAATTCAACAGGATGCTTTACAAAAACCTAAGAAAACTCTTATTGTCTACTAAATTCTATAGGGTTTTGCCTAAGGAAATTTAAAGGCATCTTTTTCCCAAGCTGTCTCATATACACACATGACTATAAACAAGCAATGCAAGCTTGCTTGCTCTTTGAAAGGCAGCAGCTGTGTTGTTCCAAAAATCCCTCCTGAATGTAAACATATTAGCACTGTATAAACAGCTTGATTTAATAAGAAATGCAATACAATATTCCTGTTTTGTCTTTGGGATCACTATGTTGATGGCAGCAATAATTCAGAGGTGAATTATGGTATCTGCTGAAAAGAAAGAAAAAGAAAACTCTCCAGCTATAGTTGTGAATTAATTTCTTCCTCTTAGCTGAAAATGAGAAATGGCTATAATTTAGCTCCCATTTAAAAGTTGCTGTTGGCTAAACTCTAAAATCTTAATTGCTTCTTAATATTCTCTCCTTATTTTTCCCTTTGAAACCACAGTCTATAGCATCGTAGTGTTTAGATTAAAAATCAGAATGGAAAACAAACAGTGGAAGGTCACCAGTCACCCCTGAAGTGTTAGGTATCAAAGTATTTTAGACTATTTCCCCAACTCTACTCACTCTAATTTTCATTACTCTAGTCATGAAAAGGGAAGTGGCACTGACCCTGGGCTTCCCTTACAGTGTCAATACTCAGGACTTGTTCAAACTGCAACAGAATATAGTGGCATTGCTAGAAAAGCCGTGTTTCAAGCCATATTATGGCTCCACATGCTATAGGAACTTGCCTTGTTGCAAAAAAATTGAAGTCACACTCAATCCCTAAACAGTTTGGAGGTCACCACCAAACACAGCCTACAATTCTCCGAGCTTGTAGAAAAGGTTGTGAGAATCACAGTGGCAAAGGCTGCAGACAATTCAAGTCAAAGTTTAAACTGACCTTGAACTGCAGAAGGATCTCATGATACTGAGTCTGCGTATAAAATCACAGATGCAAAACACATGCCTAGAAACGCAAAAATAATGTGCTTGGGAAGCTGTACCTCACAATGCAGATGTTTTAAAGGGCTCTAGATGAGCTAGTAGTGTTCCAGCAAAAGACCCTAAAACCCCACTGAATAGTCCTTAGAAATAATCAGTGGTTGTCCCTCCAGCACACAATGTGAGGAACCACTACAAAAAGAATGAAAGCAGAAAAAGAAACACCGCTGCCACTGCAGAAGGAAGTTGAGCAAAACAAGGATCTGGTCTCCACACCTTTTCTGTCTGCTAAGATTCAAATTCTTGACTTGATGTTAAAAGAAATCAGTTTCAAGCACTAGATGTCCCGGAAGCATCAGTCCCCTTCCTGGTGCCCTTGACAGCTCAAGGATCAGCCAGGCCAGCTTTGCCTTGAGAGGCATCGACGGTTGGACTCGATGATCTTAACGGTCTTTAACCGAAACCATTCTATGATTCTGTGAATCAAAGGTGCACAGAAGCAAACTTAAATTACAGCCTCCATTGTCCCTCCTGCCCAGGAAGTCCAACTTCCAACCAGCCCCACTGAACTTGGTGGCCCCTGGTCGTGCCGTGATGGTGCTCTCCTCATTGTTCTGCGATAAAAGGCAGCGCCATTTTTGCAGCTTCATTATGCTGACCTAGTTTATTTTCCACTCTACTAACTTAAAATCACACAGCCCTCTCTGCGTAGCAGAGCCATTAAAAGGACTGAATTCAGGAAACTTTAGTAGAAAGGTAATTCGGACCTGCTGCTTGCCTGCAAGTTCCCATCCCTTTTCATTACCGAGATGGTCATCGTGCTAAAAGGACGGAAGTGACCCTTTCTTTTCAGCATCAATCGCCATTTGTCCAGGATCCACATGGAAAAGGAACTGAGAACAGCAAATTACCTCTGCAAATAAGGGAGTCTCGTTCAGAAATGGCACAGATCATTTCCAAATATATTCAATTACAAGAAGTCTCTAATGAACACAGCATGGAAGCTCAACAGATAAAGAAAGGGAAAGCTTTATCAACCAGTGCCTGCTTCCAATCACTCCTTTTCAGATAAAGGGAACAGAAAATGAAGCCTCCTTACAACAAGATATCATCACAAAACTTACTTCATTGCAGTATCAAAGATCCAAACAGAGATTAGCGCTTTGCCAAACCTTCACAAGCAACCTCCCCAACTCCCTATTTTGGTCCCTGGATAACAGGGCATCGATGCAACGCAAAGCAGCAGAAGGCTTCGATCTGCTTCATTGTTCTACTTATGTCACCTCCGGTCTCAAATCATCGAATCCCACAAATGCTCAAAACCACAGAAGTGAAAATATCATTTGTTTTACACTCAAAATGTATTGCCAAAGGGTAACCATGTCTCTTCTGCATTTTTTAGCTCTCTGGGTTTTGTTTTGTAATGCTTTTTCTCACACCAAAACAAAGAAGTGCTGTGCAAGAAAAGACCCCTTGGTCCAGCACGCTTGTCCCCTTGAGGGTTATCCTTTCAGAACAAGTGTTTCTCTGCTGTGCACTTCAGTACCACGTTTCCCTTACTGAAAAAAATCTGTCTCAAACTCGTTTTCATGCCATTTGCTTTGATGGTGTTATTTAGCAAATTATTCCATATGTTGCCCATTACGTTTTAAGCTAAGTATTTCTTCTTGAAAATCCAGATCACCGTTCCTTTCAAACTTGTAAATTAGACTCTGCGGTGTTTGAGGATCTGTTTTTTCCTTACTTTAAAACACTCAGAGATAAACATTTTATTTTTCCTAAGGAAACATAATCCTGCCGAACAGGGCGCACACAATGCTATGTTGCTACTTCAATGACATGATCCGCACAACAGGAAATGTTACCGCAGACGATTTGTGTTCTAGTTGCTTGTTGATTTATCCTAAAACACACGTTGACTGTTTCTATACACTCTGTATCTGTTACAACAGCCTCAGAACTACAAAGGTAGACACAGGAGATTACGTTGAAGCTAGTGCATACGTGCTCTCAAGTTTGTTTATTGGTCCTCAATTTGTTGCTTCATATTTATCAAAACACACTGACTGCTACAGGACATACTTTGCAGGTCTATATGAATTTTTAATCTCCACCTTTTTTTTTGGTATTAATTGTATGCAAAAAAAAAATTGATCCACCGCTATCAGGGGTATTTATGTCAATGCTCATAATTTTACCAAAGCTATTGATAAATGTTAACTACCCAAGCATGTTATGGAGAGTAGATAAGAAACAATTACTGTCCATATGCAAAATAACAAACATTACTGGAAAAGCAATTTGGTTTGAGCTCAAGTCTTTGTTTATGTATCTTCCTTGATTTATGTCCGTGTTTGTTATTACAAAGCAAATAAAAATTTTATGAGGTGGATGGTTACAAATTTTGAAGATAAAAAGTATTTATCTTTAATTAACTTATCTTAATTTTAGGCTCGAGTAATATTATGATCTGTAATAGAAGCCAACATTTATCAAAAATTAGTCTCTAACTATTGGTCACTAAGCCAGTACTTTCCAACTTTTATATCTTCTCAGGGACCGTATTGTTGCTCTCTGAGCCAATTAAACATCAAGTTTGCAATTATTTCTCTTGATCCATTAGTGAAATTGCAGGACATGGAAATGTTTTCCAAACATTGAGAGTTAGCTGTTAGCATTTTATTTCAAAACCTTTCCTCCTCAGAAGAGCATTCTGTATCGACACAAGATAAATAGCACTAACCCCTCATTAGAGTCCTTCAGGATACACCATATCCTTCAAGGGCCTGCCTGGTGTGAATGTGACCAAGTTTAATCCTTCAAATGAAGAAAATTTATATTGAAGGACAGGACACCACAATGGGATCTTCAGAATCTTTCCAATTTCAGCTTTTGTGCAAATATCACTGCAATTTTAGTCATTGTCCCACTGCAATGGTATTAATTACTTGCGAATGTTAATAGAAATTATTTTCACAAGGCTATTGTCATCTGTTCATTAATATACTTTCAAATGTCCCAGCCTCAACAATTTGGCCAATTAATTGTCAGCAAAATGGGTTTACTAAAATGCACTCTGGTAATTTTTTAATTGATTCTGCAAATATAATGATAAATGGACTGCTATTTCTAATCAAAGCTACTTTTCTGTGTCCCATCTAATCAGATTTTGAAGTAATTCCTAAATATCTTTTTTGAGGCAAATCCCTGGTTAATTTTCACTACCAGTCAAATGAGATGTCTTTGGGTTCTGGTTCTGGCACAAGAAAGTGCTGCACGTTTGAATATATCCGAAATCAAATGGAGATGGATTTGTTGAGGCTAATCCTAGCCTCTAGCACTGAACCAATACCCACTGCTGTAAAGGACAGTCACTCTTGGTAAGAGGAAATTGTTACTTTCAAGAGCTTGCAGGCTGCACTTCTGAACACTTCACCAGTGATAAAGAACTCCTACTCAGAGCATTGCTATGTAACGTGAAACAAGCTCATCTCCCTTTCTAGAAGTACAGTCAGTGGAAGAAAAGAGCTGCTTCAAACCACATAGGAGGTCTGTGGCAATGCCAGCTATGGAACCAAGTCCAGTCTCACTGGGCTTTTCTCCCATGACCACCTTTCCCAAAGGCCAAGACAAAGATACCGTTTCATAGCTATATTAGAGGGATTATCTGTAAAAATATTCATCGGCATTACAGCTGGTCCTACCATTGCCAGAGCTCTATTAAGCTCGTTTTCATGACACAAAAATTAAGGTTTAAGACAGTTGAATAGTTAACCAACACAGCTGTTCTAGCATCCAGAGAGTTATCTAATGCATCTATCACTGTAACATCTAACAAAATAATAAACACAGGACTACATGAATAAACATCACCTGCTATGTGTTTTAAACCATAATCAGCTTCCCATCAAAAGAAACCCGGCTCACCTCCAGTAGACGAGCACAGCAATGAGCAGGATGAGGCACACGAAGGTCAGTGCTGAGACCACAATAAGAGGGATGATCCATTCCATTTTACCAGGAGAAGGTCTCGTGGCCATGCTGGAGCTGTTCTTGTCAGCTGCACGTTAAACACACAACAGAAACAATCACTAAATGGAATTACTGTATGGTAGAAGGTGTAAGCAAAACAAATAGCTCGTCCGTTTTACATAGTATGAGTAAACAGAGCAAAGATCTTCTAACTGCAGGGTGGGACTCCATTTGTCTTTAGTCTGAGACATGAGAGCACAAAAGTATGGTGTTTATTGCCACATATGGCTTAGATTTTACTACTGCCTGTAATTACAGCCTCATAGACAATTTTGGGACTCTGTCGTGCAAGCACCTATTATCAGATGTGTAGTACCCCACGGAGTCATTTCACCACAGTAACAGAGTAAACACTTTGCTCGGTCGTCAGTGTTTGCAGATGAACGCACTCTGTTTCTCAATACAACAGGACAGCCCTGTTTGCAAAGCTCAGTGAAATACTTCGCTTCAGAAATACATTTCTTGGTAACTATCTTAAAATAAAAAAATCCTCAACATGTTGGGTGTCATGTCACATCATTTGCGGAATTGTCACAATCTGGTGAGTTACTGCATACGAAAGCGCTTTTTAGCATATGGATTGTCAAGATGGATGGATGAATGAATGGATAGGATGTGTTGTAACTGACAGAAGAAATCATAATGCCACAGCTTTTGAACAAAATTAAAGTTGGTCAATATTGTGAGATCTGGCCAACTAACTCCGTTTCGCTTCTTGCATGACATCTCGTTAAAATGACTGTATCGCAAAGATGAGTATCTAGTGGTTCTGCAAGCACTGGAGCCCACGAGCACAGACACTATCAACGCCATTTCAAAATACATCTAATTTGCGCAAATTCTTGTAAACTTGATGAATACTATTTTAGACAGAATGATAAAAGAAAAATACAGGAGCGGATTCTGTATCTTATTCATGTTTCCTAACAAACGGGCGGTAGTTGATCAATACCTGTCAGGACGTAATGGGAAAGGATTAGTGTAAACAGCTTCAGATTTGAACGAGGATTGAAATGTACACACTTGACTTCTACTTTTTAGCCTACGTGAGTCTTTCCTTGCTCTCGTTCAGAACTGTATTATCATATCTTCTGAAACTGCTGCAAATCCTACCAGAAGAACATAATTGCCTTTTCACCGTAGGCAGGCAAAACACAGATAATTGGAAGTCACCAGATGTCACATAATATGAAGTCATACTCTATTTTAATAGCATTTAGATTATACTCCTCCATAGGCAGGAGTAAAATTCAACTAACATGGAAGTAAAGGTTAATTGTAAATGCTTTTGCCTGACTGCTGAAAACAGAGCAAGGCTGCAGGCTGCTGCAAGATGAGCAAGAACTCTTTCTAGTTTTAAGAACTGGGCTGATGGAGGTAATGCCCTTCAGCAAGCAGCCTAAATGAGGTGCTAATCAGAGGGATGTCTGGGGGAAGTGGACGTGCACTGAGTGTAGAACCGATCAGAAGAGAGATGAGGAGCCAGTTGTCTTCAGCTTCACCACGAAAGGCTACCCAGGCTACCAACAGTGCCACTTTGCAAACAGGCACACAACGTTGTACCTCAAGCACGTGGTAAGCTTTCATCTTTGCGGCATACTAATAACATACAACATACCGGTTTGAGGACAGGTCTTTGATTTCCTCGACCAACAAAGAATAAGGAAAAGAACAACCCCAAAATTAGAGCAAAGGCTTATTCTCTTTATTTGCCAAACTTGCAAAAATCGTAAGCCCTCAGGCATCAGTTTTTATCAGTGCATTTCAAAACATTTAACAGCATGAAAATATTAAGCCTGTAAGTGTTATCAATCGGAATGGTAAAAGGGACAAAGCAAAAAACCATGCGATGTAACAAAACTTCAGAGGAGAGCCAAATAGTCCCACCACCTTACATCCATTAGGGTGCTGCTTTATTTCTCTCCAAGGACACCATTCTGTTTAGTTTCACCTCCACATATTTCAACACAAAAACATATGTTTCTGTTTGCACGGGAAGAAAATGAAATTCCATTGTCAGCGCAGCATGGGCTGGAGTCCCAGTGCACACTATTAAATTCTGCAATGCTTATGATGCTCCTCTTACTCAGTCTACTGTGGAGAACACACTCATCTGATCCTGCCAACTCCCTATAGCACAGATGTGAGGATAAGAAAGCGTTCAGTATGCTCAGTGCCAGAATAGCAAATGCCATTCCCGCATGCTGATGGCTGGCCCTGAAATTCCAGTTGGGAATGCCCAAGCAACGATGTGCTTCAGAAAAAAAGACTGTTCCTGCGCTGGCTTTGAAGGAAAAGTCTTAGGTGTTTTCCACTACTTAAGTAAAATGTCGAGAGAGCTTAAACAAACCAGTGCCAATGAAAACGGTACTAGAATGACAGCTGGGGCCAGAAGTGCAGCAGCACAGCTGGAGTGCTGGCGCCTGTCTTGAGTGTCATGGCAGAAGAGCCTAAGAAAAGGCAGCAGCACACTGGGTAACTTGGAAAACGAGTAGAAGAAAATGCACACACAAAAAAAGACAGAGCTGGGCCGTTACAGCTTCCTGTTCTCCTGTGTAACAAAATATTATAAAATAAAAAATAGTCAGCATTTCACTCTTTTCCAAGAATGTTGAGCCTTGCTAGTGTCAACAGTATATCCTTGTAACAGTGCTCACCATACGCTCTACGCTGGGGGGGAAAAAACCCACAACTTAAAACATGGACCAGGAAACTCCATTTTTGCTAAGAAATGTAAACAGTTTCCAGTGGCATATGCCTTCGTTGAATTAATTCAGTTTGCCTTTTACTGGCTTGGAATTCATCCCAGTAGGAAGGAATAAAAATTATTACAGCATATCTGTTTCAGGAGGTCCCACATAACACAAACTCCAGCACTGCTAAATCCACTCCTGCTTCTGGAAAAACCCGTAACTCCTGTGAACCACCCACTCAGCAGCTCCATCAGGCCCTGTGTGGAGGAGGCCCTGGCACAGGGAGTACTGGAGGGCATCGGGCAGCGAGGGAGGCTTTGGGGGTGCAACCCTTGCACAAAGCTCAAGGCACAAAAGAGGCACTCCACAACTGGGGAAATGCATTGCTTTTCCACGTATTCTTGGTAATTGGCTCCTGAGAATAGAAACATGTTTGTTTTCCTTAAGTAACACTGCTTGCTATAATAAGCAACCGTAGCTGTAGTATATCACCTATCTACCTTTATCACCCATTGCACAAACTGCCAGGACAAAGTTCTGTTTGTTGTACCCTTACAGGTACCATTAACAACGACAGCACACGTGTTCTGCAGCCCTAAAAAACCCCTGTGGCTGAACTGCCTCAGATCATCTGGTCACTTAAGTCACCTGCTCGTCCTTCCTTTGAGTAAATGCATTTACAGACTTGTACAAAGGTATTAATGAATGCTGGAAAACAGTATCAGCCATTTTATTCAACCATGAAAACGTAAAAATGTATGTTTTTTTAAAAAAGGTATTACCTTTGATACAAGCTCATGTCATAGTGCAGCTATTTTCTCCCTATTTCTTTAAAAACATTCCCGCAGTACTCATATTCAGAGGCTGTGCACAACTAAGCATGGCTTTTCACTGTTCTGTAAACAAATGCCAATCATATTTAATCCTGATGTCAGATATCTGAAATTCATACTGTTTGCAAACATCAAGTAATTCAATCTTTTTATTTTCAAGCCATTCTGCCGTTTGCTCCTGTAAGTTGCCATGCAAAATGGCTCAAGTGCCACACGAAAATAATCCTTAATAATCCTTGCCACGTATGGAGAAAGAAAGAACTACATAGATGTTTAATTATCTTAATGAGGTTATCCCCAAAAGGCTTTTGTAACCTCAGACCTGGCAAAGACTGCTCTAAGACCCCAAATTCAGTCTCTACTAGAAACATACACCAGGCTTTGAAATGTAACCCTGCAGATCGTGATCTCTCCACAAAGCCCTCTCATGGGAGGAAGCTGGCAGCAGCGGTGAGCACGGAGGGACAGGAGGACCTGGCTGAAGTCTGAACCAAGGGCCAAGCCCCCATCTCTGTTTCCAGTCCCAGCTCATGACTCGGGCAAAAGCCCCAAGTGGACACCTGTTTCTTTGCTCAGAACAGCCTGTTTCTTATCTCCTGTCAAATACAAAGGATCTGTTTAGCTGCCTGGCACAACAAACCAAAATTCTGTGGGATGATATCTGCTCTAGCCTGACTGAACTGAATCATGCTGGTTTTCTTTTTCTTTTTTTCCCTTTTTTAAATTTTTTTTTTGGTAGAGCATCATTCTAATTGCTGTTTTTGTAATTTTCAGATTTCAGAGTCGCGGACAATGCCGAGCAGCTGCGTGTGTAACAGTTGCAGATCAAAGGTACAATTAGTCTAATGCGGGCACCAAAACACAGAAAAGGATGATCAGGAAAATGAGAGAGGAGAATGCAAGCAAGCGTTCAGTGATAGAAGAAAATCATTAGTATTGGCCGATACCACCAGACAAGAAGAGGCCAATGCCATTTGGAAAATAATGACACGGCCTCAGGAGAGGTGTGCGTGTGTATGCGCGTGTGAAATAAGCACTAAAAGAAAATGAGCCTTGCTGTACTAATTGGCCTCGCACTTTCCCTGTAATTTCTCATGTGTTCCCTGTTCTCCTCTAATCATCCACACTCATGAGTACTTCCCCATTCAGTTATCTCCTTACAACTGCTAATTTGATGCTATACAATTAATTTTACAAGTGTACATTGTTATGAAACAATTTTCTACTCTTTAAAATGATTAAATTTTCTACTCACAAAAGCATTTTTACAATCTTGACAGCTTTTAAAAAACTGCTTTCCTGGAGAAAAGATGCATCCAAAAAAGTTTCTGCCCTCCTTGGGACACAGTAAGCTGCAGGGGTTTTTTCTGCTCATTTTGGAAGTGGCCTCCACCCTCTTTTAAGTGCCCTGATGCTCAGGAATGCTGTTAGACACTTCTGGGAATGTCCTCTTGGCTTCACTGGTTGTTGTCTTGATTTCAGGTTTACCTTGTTATAGAAAATCTTTAAGGACCTTTTTCATAGGATGAGGCCTTGCTTACATCTAGAGTTTCACTGAACTCAACTCCATGTATGGGCTAGGTCAGGTCTGTCTGTATAAACTGCAAATTTCCCTCCTACTGTGGAAAACAGTTAAGCTGAAGTAACTAACCTTAGGCTTCGTGCTAGTGTTTGATTGATGGGCCAATTCACTAGCTATGGGTTTTGCTGGCATGTGTTTTTGGTAACCTAGATCCAGCCTGGAGGAAACCTCCTTCTGCGTTCCCAAAAGCCTTTTCACAGGGGTAGCACTCCCAACAGGCCAGTCAGGCCTTACTCAGACACATCTAGTACAACATGTGGGCAAATTCTGGGTTAGGCAGACCTCAGCTATCCACTGCAGAAGCCTGGTGACATGACACAAAGAAAAGGACTTGCCTGAAGTGACTTTGAAAGACAAGGCCCTCACATCTGGTACAATGAGATTCAGACTGAAAGCCTCTGTCCCAAAGCCAGTAAGAAAGGTCTCCCAATGTTCTCCGAGCTGAAAAGCACCATCCCTTTCCAATGTCTGGTCAGGGAGTCACCAGGTTTGTGACCAACCTAACTTCTTCCACCTGGAGGTCAAGGACAGGGAATGAACCTCTACCTCAAGGAAACTGGCACAAATAGGCCCTTCTTCATCTCCGAACAGCCATTCCCAGCCCTTTTGACGCTGAGTGTCCTCTTCAAGACACTGAAGGGCTTGGGAGAGGCTGATCTGGGAAGCTACAGATATGGTACAATTCCTTCTTGTCCTGGGTCTGTCACCAGAGGTTTAACTAAGACTTAACTAAGGTTAATTTGGATTAAACAGGCAACTCTCTCAGTTTTCTTTTCTGTCAGCTAACGTGCTGGTTATTTCAGATGTCATTTCCTACACATGGAAGCCATTTTTGTAAGACACAATGATCTTAGTAAGTTATCCTCCCTCCATATATAAGCATGGAAAACCTAATTTGCAGAGTCATTTCAAGACTGATCGTCTTTGCATGCAGTCTTCAGGAAGGGTCAGTTCAAGCCTTCAAGCGAGCAGAGCTCTTAAAAGAGGCTGTCTAGCAGGAGGCAAAGCTGCATTAAACCACTTTCAGTGACAGTTCTCTGCATGCTAAAAAGAGACAGAAATCACTACGGGCTAAGGGGATACAATTCACAATAACCAGTACGTACTTCTTAGCAAAATTAACAATATTTCCCCATCTCATTGATTTTCATCTTTTTCATCTTAACTTCACCGTGGAATAAAAACCAATTTAATAACAATTCCTTTATCATGCGCCAAGAAACAAGACCAACTACTCATCTTTTCTCCAATTTATTATGCTGGGAATAAGCTAGGAGGCCTTTTATATGTCTTAAAAAAGGGACATAGTACTTGGGCCATCCAAGAAGCTGGCACATGAGAAATGGGAAAGCAGAAGGGAGGAAGAAGGAAATACAACTATTCAAAGGCAGCTTTGATTAGATCGCTGGGGTTTGAACCTAAATGGTGCCGAATGCTTACTCCCACCATTGCAAAGCATGGCTAGGTCAAGTTCCCTCCTTCCTGATAAAAACGTGATTAGGGCAAGTGGCACATTGAAAGCTGCCTGACAGGCATCTCAAACCATATTCAGTGGGAGCACTGGACTTTGAAGAAGATTTCCAGCTGAGGAGTAATAAAAACAGCAGTGTATTTTAAAAAAATCAGCACAACCTGATGCAGGTTTCTTGGCTTCTGCATTGTTAATCTGCTCTCTTACAGAACCGTTACGATTCACAGCATTAGAGTCAGGTCAGCACTTCCGTAACAAATGTTATTAAAGACTGGATTTAGCTTTGTTTTCTAAATTAGTTCTGAACTATAACTGAGTGCATAATGTCTGCATTTTTTTGTTTATAAATGTAGGGGAAAATAAATATGTAGGGTTTTTTTTCCACAGTATTCTAACTCTAGAGCAGCTTTGATGGAAAAACAAAATTACAAAACAGTCTACAGATTAGCAAAATAAACAATAACAGTAAAAAAACCACTGAAATAAAAAAAAATGCACTATCTTATAAATGCTGTGGTAATACACATAATGATTCAGATAAACTAATTGCCGTATCTAAATCTCAGTCCTTACTCTGCAAATAAATCCACATGCGTGTACTCCATTTGCTCCCTGGAGTTGTAAGATCTGTTTTCCTCACCAGTGGCGAGCAGAAATGTGTGTACACGCACTGGACTCATGAGATACCTGTTTACATAGGCCCGTGCAGCAAATCCTGACCACACAGGGCAAATCACCTGGGTATGCTTCCAAAAGGTCGTATTTGCTGTGTACGTACTGTGGAGTTGGTACATACATCCAGAGTTTGCGTGTACAGAACTGGTAATTCTCACCAGGATAAACATAGAAAATACGTGAACTCTGCCTGGCTAAGACTTTTTTCTCCCCCACAGGAAAAAAAAGAAGGCAATCCCAGTCCAAAAAGTGTCTTGTCTTGGAAGATCAGAACAAGTAGGTTTTGTGGTGAGAAATAAACCAGTGATGATCCTGTGTTTGGAAGAATATCTCAAAGCCCAATCAGGTTGAATCCTGCAGATAAACTAAATTACCTTACAGCACATATAGCAGCCTTCCCACGAAACACCAGCTAGGCACAGCAACCTCTCTTCCAAATTAATTTCACAGCTATAATTCACTGCATTTCCCTCTCATTTCTTTTAAAATCAAAACTCTTAATGCAGCATGCTGGGGGTTAACTTTTTTCCAAATTTTCTCTTCTAGTAAGTTACAAGGACCATGAATCTGTCCCAGCAAAATAAAAGGATGATCTTTCCCCCGCAACTCCCCTCAATGCCAATTTGTGGGTTGGGTCCTGTGACGACCTGTCCATCGGATGAAGCCAGGCACCGCAGAAATGTTGTACCTACTGGAAATCAGTAAGGAATTTGGATTGCGTCATTTTATAACAGTCTTACGCTGGTTAAAACAGTTTCCCCAGAGGTCACTCACCTGGGTTAATGGTGATGAATTTGTTATCTGAGGGGTATTCCTCTGGAAACCTGTCCTCCTTTGGAGGAGGTCTTCTTGTTGTCTCTGGTCTTCTTGGGATCTTTCCCAGGTAAAGTTCGTTGGTGAACGCTGGCGGCACTTGGGTGGAAGGGAGCGGCTGGGGCTGAGTGTCTGCTTCGGCAAAGCTCTCCTCCTCAGGACCTCCAGCCGTGGGGGCAACGTTTTGGTTTGGCTCTTCACCCGATATGGTTTTATTTCCTTCCTCCTCGGCAGTCCGGTTGGGGGAAGCTGTGGCCACACTGGGCTCCGTGCTATTGCGTGCCTCCGCAGCCACCGTCGCCCTGTTTTTCTCCTTCTTCTCTGCATCCTTTTCCTCCTCTTCCTCGTGCTCCCGCTCTCCGTCCTCACTTTCACTCTTTTCATCCTTCTCCCCCTCCTCGGCTCCCTCGCCATCCTTTGTCAGTGCTGAGTCCCGCTCAGGTCCTGGGGAGGCAGCAGCAGCCGCCTCCGTGGAGGCCACCACCGGCCTGCTGGGGCCAGCCGCTGCAGGGAGCCGGGTGGGCCACACGCTGCTGGGGAAGGAGGAGATGCCACCGCCGCTGAAGCCCAGCCCTGCTAGCAAGGTGCTGGTCACCACCGAGGCCACAGTGGCCTGGCTGCCACTGGAGGAAGGTCCCATCCCTGTGGCCATAGATACGAAGGAGAAGGGGAGCCCTGAGGAGGTCCAGGTGGAGGAGCCGGAGCTGATAGGAGCCATGTCAGCTGAGGAGGCAGGAGAGGCCGTGGGCTTGAGGAGGTCACCAGTAGCAGAAGGGAAGAAAACACAGCAGAGAGCATCAGCAGGGGCCCTGATACACTATCTGGGATCATTTTTTCTTTTGCTTTTCCCTCCCGTTTCACACACATGCTCTTCTGGTTGCTATTCTATTAAAATGAGAGATTTATACCAGCTGGAAGCAAGGCCAAGTCAGGAATGGGACATGCCACAGGCCTACATGACAAACCAGGAAACCTCCCTGTGTTTGCCATTTCCAAACAATAATTATCATCAAAAACCTCTTTATCCTCATCTGTATTGTACAGCAGGACCTTCTCCACTCATGTCACTGGCGACTTGTGAGTAACGTTTCCTCTCAGGGGTGAGGAGGATCTAAAGGAGTTTAATGAGTTTAGCTGCATTACTCACAGTGCTTTAATCCTCAGAACACAGAAGTTTAAAAATACAGTGTTACATAAGGGCTGTCCCAAAATAAGGGCTGTGCTGCCAACGTGAGCATCCGTGGCTGGTGGGTCTGCTCTGACAAGGAACTCTGGCTCTTCCCGCACACATTGTGAGGGCCTCAGACACTACTATTTTTATTTCCTTTATTTACCCACTATTCTTCTAAGGACTGGTGCTGCAGTGAGGCGTCGCTTCTGTTAGAAAAGACCTGCAGCATGGCCAGCTGGGCACTTATGAAGGACTTGGAGGGCATCAGAAGCCCTTCAGCAAGTCACCACAACCTCTACCAGGACCACCAGGCTGTGGCACCCATGTATAGACTCAGTTTTCACCATCCACAGGGCCCTGCCCACCACCAGTGACCCAGAGCCAGGGCTGGCACTGCCCACTTCTCTCAAGGAGCCGAGAGGAGGCAGAGAATGAACCGTGGACTTTGCATTCTCTTTGCACATGTGAATGCTCTACTGGAAATAAAAAACCTTAGTATATATTTAAAGAACTAGACAAGTCATTCTTCTTCCTGAATTACATGTGGAAAAAGACACTGAAGTCAATTCACTAAGAACAAGGAGTAATTCTGTGGAAGAGCCGGGGTCAGCAGTTCTGCCTGGACAACCTGGCCATGCTCCCTCTCTGACTTACTGAAAAATGTCTCATGGTACTGAATTCACCAGCAAGGGGAGCATTAGCTGGAAAGGTATGCATCAGACAAGGACAAACAAGGGTTAAATAGGTGTTACTGAATCTTGAACAAAACTGTAAAATGTTTATTTTTGGAACTGAAATTTATAACTTAACAGTATTTCTGCATCTCTCTGCAATTCCCGGTTTCAGTCAGGCTGTGTAGTTGAAATGCTGCAGCAAGCCAAGAAAGGCTGCTTCGTCACGTTATTTTTGACCAGCTGCAATCACAGAGAACCTGAGATCTCAGAAGAAAACCTGTGCTTTAGAGATTTCAAGCCAAAACTTTAAATAAGCATCTAAACTTTCGGATACTTATCAGTGTGAATCCCTAAAGCACTGTGAGATTTGCTTTTCACTGGCATGCAGTCTCAAAGCTGGACTGAGTATTAAAATCTGACAGCAGATTTTATATGTCTGGAATACCTCTATACATCATTAAACAAACATTAATCATTCAAACTCAAGCTTTGTATGTGTTAGTTGCTTACTAGGGAGTATATCAAACTGGAACAGAATAACACCAGAGCAAAGTACTTAGAGCAAATTCAATAGTATGAATTCAGTCCATAAATTTGACTGAACAATTCAGTATACCAAATGCCAAGAAATTCAGGTTACGGATAGCTTATATTAAATAACCTAATAAGGTTCTTTCAAAACTGAAACAGAGTATTCCAGTTTTACTGTAAATGTATCAACATTTCTGATTCTGGAATACAAAAGCCAGCTTCAGTGACTCGTTACAGTCTCACCTGAATTAAAATTAAAACAAGGAGCTTGTTAAGGTTCATTCACACAAGAGCTGATATCCTAAAAGCACCAAAAAAGCAGCGATGCTGTGTGTGAAGCCTTATTTCTGATGCATATACCTGTGGTCATACGGTTCATAGAAGAGATTAAATTTCTTTCTACAGTCATCACTAAATTACAAATCCCCTCTAAGTGAGTTCAAGACATATTTCGGAGACTTTTTTAACACTTGATTCCCCAGTGGTCAAAGCCTCTCAGAGCATGAAGGCAGAAAACCCAAACCCCTCCAGTATTGGAGGTTGTGAGGAGAGGACCAGGCTCGTCCCGGGGCAGCCCGTGCTGCCGCTGATGTACAACACCGTGCTGCCACCTGGTGGGACCGCCACCCCGCAGGACCGCTGCCCGCCCGCGCTCGCAGGGACGGATGCCCATCACTTACCACTCCTGTTTTCACAATTCTGGTCCCCTCGAAAATACGAGTAGTGTTAGCTGAGGAATAAAGAACAAGAGCGTGTCAGTGGCCGGGGATGGGAGGCGTCGCTCAAATTGCTAAAAAACTGCTGAACATTGCACTGCAAAGTATGTGTGCAGGTCTCAGTGTGGAGTAAAAGCAACTTAGATCTCCTGGTATTTACTCACCTTACTTTGTAATTAAGTCTAAAGACAGATTCGTTTGTCTTGAATTACCCAGACCTGGCAATGCTGGTTTAAGTGCACTGTCACGAAACACAAGCTCTTTCTAACCTGAGATGTCCTGACTTCCACAGCTGACGATAACAGTTTTTTCTGCCCTTATGATAGTATTTTCATTATTTATTGCTATTTATCTCAACTACAACTATAATCAACCTCTAAAGAATGTTTTGAAAGCTCAAGTGGGTTCTTTTTCTAGGTTAGATCTTGGGTACAGACAAAGATTAGAACAGCTCGTTTTTGTTTTTGGGGGGACATGGAAGGAAATGCAGCATCTGCATCTATCACTTCCGCTGTTTTGAACCTTGGGCTAGAATACCTAAACCATAGTCAGCAAAACTGTGAATAATGATTTACTCTTAACTGTAATTAAATAGGTATCATGGTCAAATTTCAAAGAATTTTTCCACTCTTATTATCCATCTAAAGAGGTCATAATCAGTAACATACAGGTTTCTGACTTCTGCTTGGTACTTAAAGTGAAGTCCAAGATACTATGCTGAGATACTGAGAGCTACATATGAGATATGGAACAGGACTAAGTTGTGTCCACAGCTTGACATCCTTCAGATGCTAAGTGCTCACAGAGTAGGGCTACAACCGCCACATATTCCAAAAATCACACTTAAAAATGCTTCTCATTTTGTACCATACACAGCATCAGACCCAAGTGGCTTAACTCTTTACCTTAAGGATTTAAATTTTTAACTCTTCGCTTGTTTTGTTATTCCATTACCCATTCTGAGGCTTATGTATCTGTAAACTGGAGTGGGAAACAGTGCTCTCAGCAGAGGTGAAGTCTGCCCTACTTAATACAAGAAAGTAGTAACAAATTCCTAGGAAGGAGCGAAACTTCAGCACTTAAGAAATTCAAAAGCATCAAGTTCTTCTACCGAATCTCAGCTTTACCAGATTTCTCCAATAAACTTTAAAGGAAATCCATGACAAAGGACAGCTTAGCATCCAGTTCTTTAGCTTTCATTTAAATATGTATGTTTTGGAAATCACTGAGGTTGTGTGCATAGTAAAACCTGAACATCTCCACATGTGGTTGTCAAGGTAGGACTGATCTCCTTTCCTCTTCACATCAAACAGACACCGCTCAGACTCACATTCTGCTATAGCTGTGCCTCTGATGCCTAAGCAGCCTCTGATGAATTTGTTCTCGCAAACTAGAATAGCTCTGAATTCTCCTAAAACCCGACAAACCCTGTCAGCAGAGAGGTGCAGGCAAACCCCCACCACTAGAAATAGGACTCCGATAAAGTCACTGGCCGCAATCTGAAATTAGCATTGCCTACATGCATTCTGAAATCATTCCCAGTGCACTCTGCAAAGAAAACGTTAAACACACAAAGAGTCACAATGTAAAAATATGTATGTGTTTTTTTACCTTGAAAGAGCATAGTCTGGCTAAAGTCACTACGCATTTCATTTCGGCAAACTGCTTGAACTCTGAACAGATAAAGGATGTCAGGTGAGACATGGCTAATGATGGCCTTCTGTTTAAAAAAAATAGATATTATTCAGTTTTTTACCCCCACAGTACTGTCCACGATCAGTTTGAAATACATAAAGCATTGCGCTAACACAGGACATTTCTGCCACATAAGACAAACTTATTTCTAAACAGAAATATTCACTGGTCCCCTGGCAGAGGGCAAGGCCAAGGTCAAAGGACTTTCCTGGGATAAAAATGATGCACCCAGACTCTGCTGACTCTGCCCACAAGAAGGAAATGAACACGTCCCACCTCTACTCTCAGGGCAGCCTTCATACCTGAAAGCCTCTGCTCTCCTCAGAAAAACCGAAACCCCAAATCATTTGGCCTTACAGGCATTAAAATGAGATTTTTATAGGTGGAGATCCAAGTCTCCAACCTGGGATAAGCCCAGAAAAGTCACCATATGTTCAAATTTTGCAACAAAGCAGCTGTGGCAATTTGATGCTGGTGGCCTATGTAATATGATGGTTTGGCACCCTGGACTGGGACTTCCCTGAACGCTTTTGTACAAGAGATGCTGCCTTGCGGCTTCCCAGCTACTCCTTTGTGTTGCCTTAGTCCGTGATCACATCAGTCCACATCTTGCAGCAGACAGCAAGACCCTATGTGGGTCACTTAAAATCCCAGTGATCTCTTTAGCAAAGCACTGTCTAGCAATGTCTCAAAACGGGACAGCCCAGCTGCCAGAGCACTGAAAGCAAATTGCACTTTCCTGTGAAAAAGAGTTTCCTTCTTCTTTTGCTCCTAAAATAGACTAAGCTGTCATTGCTTTCTTAACCTCCAAGCTCTGCTGCACAGCACAGGGTCTCATTGCAATTTATTTCCAAGCTATCACTCCATCACATCCCCTGCACTCTTAATTATTTCTTTTACATAAAACAGGATGCTGTCACTGTGCCCACCTCATTTTTGCTGATTAAGGCTCTCCTCCTCATACCTGATTAAAAAAAAACTCCCTTAAGAGTGTGAAGTTATGACAAGAGAGAGGTTACAATACATCATAACCTTGGGTGCCTTTCAATAGATTCCTTTCTGATTTCGTGAGGCACATCGCTCCCTAACGTGACCCAGATAACAATGTCTAGTGGGGAAATTGAAAATATAAATGGAAATGAAGTAAAGGAATCTTCATCTAAGGGAATAAGAGAAGTATTATTGTATAACTGATTGAATGGGCCCAGAGGACTGTGTATTTGAAAAAAAAAATACGATAACAGTCATTAGGAATAACACTCCGTGCTGCTGCATTTTTCATGTGCATATACAATTACCGATTTCATTATTCTAGAGGCTTTCTTTGATTAACAATAAACGGAGGCCTTTCAAACCTGAATATGTCACTTTGATTTTATATGCAGAGAACGTTAAAGACCAGTACAATACTTGCTTCCACTTAGACAAGAATGACAAGCAGATCAAATCCTAAAAGGAGGAGATAGAAAGGTGTTTCCATCTGTTCTGGAAAGTCTTGCTCTTCCCTCTTTCTCTTCCACCGCCAGACACAGGCAGTGCTTGCACAGGGCCACTCTGCAATAAACTTCTAGCCCTGACCATGCAGCTCGTACTGCTGGCAGCACTCGCTGCCAGAAACTGCTCCCAGGACTGCAGAGGGGCTATGTGCAGTGAAAAGCCTGAGCCCAGGAACAGATTTTGGGGGAATCGGGCTTTTAATGTGAAAATCTGTGAGCTGAACACAAGCCAAAAGGTATTCAGAGCCTTTCTATTTCCCGAGCCAGCTGCTTCTCAGTGACAGTGAAAAAGTGTCTGCAGATTTAGCCCTTTATGCACTCGCATAAACTATAAATTCCCACTCCAGGGTGTTTTGGGTAGTCTGTTAGGCACTGTTCAACTAATACTGAACATTTTAATAGCAATTCATGGCGAGTCAAACTCTACCCTGTCTATAAGGTAACAACTGCTTTCCTCCTCTACTTCCTCCTACTGATGAAATAACAATATAAAGATAGCTTGATACATATGTCTGGGGTTGATGCTGTGGTTTTACCAGGTCCTTGTCACTGTCCTTGGTGAAAGTCTTCTCCTTTTCGTCTTCGTTTTTCGTCCAGCTATATGAGATCATGTAGTTCATGATTGGAGGGTGGTAGATGGTTTCTGGCTGGTTCCAGGTTACAAGCAACGCTGTCCTGTTCACAGGCTGCACTTTCATGTTGACTGGGGGAGTGCTGCAAGCTAGAAAAACAGAAGGGAAAAATATGATGCTCTCCTTAATAACTGAGAGAAAACAAACACAAAGAACTGTGCCTTGCTCTAAGAGCCAGGTTTTTTCTTTAATGCCCTTGCCTACAGTAATAGCTTAGATTGCAATCCACTGAAACCAATGGGATTTAATACCACCTGCAGCTGCTTTCGGCTCTCCAGAGTAAAGGGAGTGAGAGAATCCATTCTCTGCAGGCAGGTTGCTTAGTTCTCGACTTATTTTCAGTCCTGACATTTGCACGTACACTTTAACTTAGTCACTTAAGAGCTCTGCACTGGAACATTAAGGAGTCCAACCAACCGGAGCCCCAGCTTCCCTGGCCCACAGTCTCCTGCCGTATGAAATGGGAAAATACTCCAGCATGCTCTGCAGGCCCTGGAAAGAGCTGGAACCTCTGCAAATGTGACGCCATTGCCTCAGTAAGGATTTTCCTCTTAACCTAGCACATTTTTGCACAGGAGCAGAAGTTACTTTATACTCCTCTTCCTGTGTGTTTTCCTTCATGGATTCTCAGCTGTTTGTCAGTAATGTATCACCAGCACAAGAACGAGTGGCACTTGATGGCCCTTGGCCATCTCCTTCTCAAAACAGGCAGGGGAACCCTTCAGCCAGCCTCCGAAAGCCTTCCCAACCCTGCCTGCAGTGGGGAGGCACAAGTTACTTCTCACTCAAGCTTAAGTTGGTGGGGACATCAGCATAGGAGCAGCTTAACCAGCGGGCAAAATCACGGCTTGTGCTTACTGCAGCAACCAAATCTCAAATTCTCCAGGGAAGTCCAAACCCAAACTCAGCCCGTACCCTTCAGGAGGAGTGGGGAGTGCACAGCCCACTCGCAGCAAAAACACTTTGCAAGCCACTGAATTGTGAAGGTCAGGGTACAAATGAAGAACACTAGATGGCACTCATATGCTATCGAAAAAGCACATCGTGCACTTCCCAACCATAAAGAGCTTAAATTTTTTACAAGCTTTAAAAATCGAGTTTAAAATACACAATTCAGGACAGATCCTCAGATTATCTTTCCCAATATAAACTCTAAACTAAGAAAAATCATTTGCAATGATACCTAAACACATGTGCTGTGGCAAAGGTGGTGGTCTCTTCTGCCAGGGAAAGCCAAAGTGCTACCTACCCAGCTCATCCCATCCCACCCCACTGGAGAATTATTTTTCCCAATACGACTTTTCCATTTAAAGCCAACACATTCAGCTCATTTGCGCTCTGCAGGTATGTGATTGTGTGTATATTTGGCCATTATTTTAATTCTGAAGAGTCCTGGCAGCACTGAAGGGGAGAAATGTCTATTCCTTGCCTGGACTTGCAGGTTCGCCATGCAGCTCTGCTGTCACATTACTGAAATACCTACAGCTCCTAAATAAAAATGATTAAATGCTGTAAGCACCAATAATACCAGTACAATAGAAAAATACCTGTCAAACACATTTATGCAGTTATAATTTTGTTGCTAGTCTGAACAAGAGAACATACATTGCAGAAATAGGCTTGGGCAGGGAGGATCTTTGGTGCTTGCTCCTGCCATGAGCAGTGAGAATCTCGCAGTTTTGCAGCAGATCCTTCTGCTCAACTCAGAAGGATGATCCAGAAAAGCAAACAAACCCTGCAATACCTCAAATTGTTGACCAAACGAGTAAGAGTTGCTATTTACACTGAGTAGAAGGGACCAAAATGGCATTTTGTTGGCAATGTCAAAAAGCCAGAAGCAACACCTTGGTCTGCTGCCTGCAGGCCCCTTCCCTCCTGCTCCCTTCTGGTCTCTGCAGGGAGCCCACAGAGCACAGCACAAAGGTGGCCAGGACCTGGCTGAGAGGGCACAGCTGAAAGTAGTCACTGTTGTCACTGTTTACAGAGCTTCATGATCCTTGGTTTGCCTCTCCATGCTCACCTCTTTCTGCTGAGATACTCGGATCCATTCTCACTGACATCACACTGTTTATTGATAACTGCACCAATAAATCATAACTGCCCCCTTTGAAGCCCTTTGTCATCACAGAATTACACTTCAAAATGCCAGGCCAGCCTTTACTGCTCCACCTAATTGAGTCCTATCAGAGATGGGAGTCCAGGGTGAAGGACTACCCAGACCTAGAAGTCCTATTCAGTCCTCCTCCTCCAGGTGGACATGCAGAGATTTATATATTTAAAGTAATCATGCGTCAAATTGTTTTAGAATTCAACCAGGTAACCTTCACAGAGACAGACAGATTTGCCTTAACTGCAACACCGCTCTGATCCATGGCTCGCCAGCTGTTCTTCAGACAAGGACCCCAAGCCACCCTGGGGAGAAGGGGCACCCCAGGGAGAAGGGACTATCAAGTCCTCCATCCCATACCACCCTTTGCTGCCAGCTTTGATGCCATTCATAAAAGCTCATGTCACTCAGGGGAAAGAAGCAGGCACTTCCCAAAGGTAAACAGGAGACTCCCAGGGTCACATTTAGGAGACTCTCCCTCCCGGTACCCTGACCCAAGAAGGACCCCAGCACTTTTAAGCAGCCGAGTGACTCCAGTGACTTCAGAGACAAGCTCTGACTGGGACGAACTGCATTCACAGCATGCTAAAAGGAGACTGAATTTACAAAACTGCTATTTCACAGTAAATATGACAAAGTTTTCCTGACTTAGTATGACTTTATTCCAATTACTCCAAGGCACATAGCGGCACCTGATGTAATTAAGTAATAACCAACCTTTTCTGTTCAGCCACTTTTTTTTTTTTTTGAAACAGCTTATGAATGGGCAAATATCTTTTTTTATAAAATGAAACATATGGTTTTATTAATTTAACCAAACCTGCTCAGGACACAACGGAATAAAAAAGCATTTGATCCAATAATTCAATTTGATGATTTAATTAAAACGATACATAATAACGTAGCAAATGTCTGAAAGGCAAGGAAAAAAAGAGTATAATGATTTGACCATCTATAAAACAACTGGCATTTTCCAGAGATCTAATTTTCTTTTCAATACTCTGTGTGCCTTGGATTTTTGAAAGAAGATTAAAAGAATCACAGGCTTCTCACTTTTTTTTTTTTTTACATTTGAAAGAACCTCTACTGGTTTTGCAAAATGTGCAGCTGAAGGACAAATAGAAATGCAAGAGGAGGTTGGCACAGGGAGGGAGAAGTTTGCATCTTCCTCTGAACTGAATCAGGACACACTACAGAGAAACACCAGCTTTTTTTTAAACCAGGCTAAATAAGCAAAAATAAAGCCTGAGAATTCATGATTGCTTGAGAAAAAAAAAAAGAACTGAAACCAACAACAGGCATCATCTCACACCGAAATAGCAGATCTCAGCTATTTTTAGCGAAAATATTACTAATGCTCTCTTTTAAATTCAGGTCCTAAGGGATAATAAAAATATGAGGAGGTTTTCAGGATGTCTTTCTGTGGTGTAGCACAATACCGAGCAGGTACCTGAAGTGGCCCTGCACAGGCGTAGCAGGACACCAAAGCCAGGACATCCTGGCTAGCAAACCACCCCCGCCAGGAGTCCTGGAGGCAGAAAAGCCTCGCTGGGGCCACAGGGCTCCAGCTCGGAGGCACTCAACAGCAAGTGCGTTCGCAGCAGCAGGAACAGCACACCTCAGCCTTCTCGGAGCGGAAAATAAACCCCTCGCCCTCCTGTCAGCGATGACCTGAGCTGGGAACCTGGCAACCACACTGGCTCCTGTCTGATGGAAAAAGACCTGCAGAGGAGGGAGGGCTGCGCGGGGGCATCTGGAGGAAGCCCTCTGACCCGGCCGGCCGACGTTTCCAGCTGCTGGCCATGTGTGGGGCTGTCTGGGAGCTCGACACAGGCTTCTCTCTGCAGATCGGCCCGCCGGGGAAGGCAAGGGGCAAGCCAGCATCTTGGCTCGTCTTCTCTTCCAGGGCTCACTCAAGCCTGGAGAAAACCTGTTTGCCACTCGCAGACAAATGCAGCATGCTAATTCAGTCCTAAGCGCTGGCCAGGCCGGCCATAGAGCAGAGAATTATTTTCTTCATGTTAAAAACATTCCAATGGGCTGGAACAAACAAAATTAATTTAACAACTCCGCATTCATCTCTCCCGTAATTTGATTTGTATGTTGTATTTGGCTACGTAACCTCTACGAGGCTTTCCTAACTGAAGCTTGATAAAGCTCAGTCCAAAAGCTCCTGGCAGCTCCATTTCAGAGGGCTGAAAGACAAAAAGGGGGCTTATTGTTTTGCAAAAAATTAACCACTGACATTAAGACACCCATGAATGTGGAAAGGGCACGGAAGAGACTATTACAGCTTTTTTCCTTTTTTTTAAAGCGGCCTACATTTCTCTTTCAAAGACAGAAATGCAAAACCAGCCAAACTTCCCAGGTTTCATCATGCATATGCTACCTGAGGTTATAAAAAGAGCTATTTAGGGAAAGTTTGAGAGAGTGCACCAACCGTATATTCGGTTATTGCTTGTACACCTTCTCCCTGTAAAACAGGTGCCTCACATGATGAATCCAGTGGCACCGGGCTCAGAGGGATTTATAAAATCCTCTAAAAATGTTCCAAGTTAGCTCTTCCATGCATAAAAATGTCACCACTTTAAAGGCAGTTATTTCTAGCTGTGCTATGCCCTCTTTTGGAAAATCCCACTCTCTCCCTCCTGCTGCATGCCTCAGCAATGCAAAACTGCTGTTCCTGTCCTTAATGCTGTGGGATAGGTGTTGTGCGATGAAACCCCGACAATTTTCAGCAGAGAAAAGCAACGTGCCAGTGAAGTCCTGAATCCCTCATGGTGAGATGGGCAGGGATCCTCTAAGGTAATTCATACCTGAAAGGAGGAAACAACATCAGGATGCCACTGGCTCAGGGGTAGCTAAAAGACAGGGACAAGGGTCTTGTCTTGTCCTGGGTGGCAGCTCCTGGCTGTAAGGTGACAGGGGCTTCTCAGTTCTCCTTTTCCTCCCTGCTCTGGGCGTGCATGGGAGGAGTTGCAG